GAGGTGCTATGGAAAAGAGGACAAAGACAGCTCTTGCTTCAGAAAGCCTGATCCTGTATTTACTGGAGGCGTCCGTCTAATGCATAGGCAAAAATCAAGTGAGAGCCACGCACTCCGTAGCCATTGCTGTTCAAAATGAAGCTAGGCAATTGCAGGACCTCCACACGGTGCTTGCAGAGCTCCCTTCATTTGTGCTGCTCCCACCACCTTATCCTGCCCTTCCTTTGCTCCCTGGGATCCAGCCCTGGCTCAGAGGCTGCTTTTCCACCCTTTGTTAGAGTCAGGGCTTGGTGAAGTGGTCCAGTTTAGTGCACAGAAATGGTGGGTGTTTTCCCTTTGAATATGGGCAAAATGAGCAGCTTGGGTTTTGTGTAAAATGGGCTTTTTCTAGTAGCAGAAGAGGGGAACTTGGCTGTCACAGGACTCCAGACAGCAGAAAAGGGAGCATGTACAGAGAAATCCGGAGTGCAACTTGCGCTGAGGGAAACAGAAGGAAGATGCTAATGCTGTCAGGCTGTGATCCTTGGAAATACTCTGTCAAAGCCAAGAAAAATCATGAGACTGACTTAGAAAAAACATAAGGCTTCTCAAAGTGATACATTTGGGCTCTTTTTGTTTGCCTTCTGGTTTCTGAGCCTCTTTGGTTCACATTTTAGACTATTTTCCTTCAAAACCCACAATGGCCAGCAGTGGATGTGTCTTGTTGATGCCTGTGTTTCGTTTTGACTTCCCTATAACTCAGGTAGTGCTGGTCTCAGAAACAAAGCCCAGAGCAGGAGGTTTCTGATAAAATCACAGAGCTGCTAAACCTGTTTATTTCAAGCTGGGAAAATAACTTCAAGAAGGTTTTGGTTTATGGAGTGGGTTGTTCCCTTCTCTCTTGTGTGCTGAACAGGTAGAGGTGCTACCAAGCTGCTATTACTCCCTGCAGGAGAGGGCAGGTGAAATGTTGGAAACAGGCCTGATTCTGAAGAAAAGATGTTTAAAAAGACCAATTCTGGTGAAGAAAATTCCCAAAAATGCTCAATGAGAAACACTGCAACGTTTTGCTCCAGTAATAAGGAAGCATTATACTAAATATTAATATTCTACTGCAATAGGAAAATGAAAGCAAAATGTTTACTGCCTTGAAGTTAAATATTTTACTATTACTGAGAAGAAGAAGTTGAAATAATCCAGTGAAACATTTCAGTCCTGACAAAACTGCTTTTTTCCATTGGACTTCTCTGTCAAAACATTATGACCAGCTTTAATAAACATATGCATAATGAGTATAAACATATGTTAGACTCCAAAGATGCTGGTTTAAACAGTACTGCAGCATTAAATCTCTGTTTATCCACAGAATAGACTGAACACGGGCAGCAGCTGTTCAGCTTTTCACCACATCCCCAGTGTGCTCTGTGCTCTGCAAGGAGCATCTGCTGTGGGACTCTGTGGTACTGGCACAGGGTGCCCAGAGAAGCTGTGGCTGCCCCATCCCTGGCAGTGTTCAAGGCCAGGTTGGACACAGGGGCTTGGAGCAAGCTGCTCTATGGAAGGGGTCCTTGCCCATGGCAGGGGTTAGAGCTGGATGAGCTTTAAGGTCTCTTCCAACCCAAACCATTCTATGACCCTCTGGCTGAGGGCTTTAGGAGTGCTCACCCGTGGTTTCCTGCCTGTCTGCTGGTGTAATGTACATCCCAAGACTTCATTTATAGGTATGTTTAAAGTTTGATTCACAAAACCACACAATGACTCTCCTATCACTGTATCTTCTATACTCTCAAACCAAAGAATCACCCTCATCACAAGTAAAATCATTTATTTTGGCTACAGCTCCTTAAAACACCCAGAAAATGGAAACCTTTAGGAAAATGACACCTCAGCAGCGCTCCCCAGACAAACCCTTTTCATCAAGAGCTTTCTATCCCTAAATCAATCAGTAGCTCTAAAGCAAATGTTTGCCAATATATGTGCTGCATTTATTCAGGGCAAATAAAGAATAAATCAGTCAGTTTGTTGGGAATAAGCTCCATGGGTGATGGTGCGTATTGTTTTACTACAGCTATGGAAACATTTGCCAGGGTCCCTCTCCCCTCTTAGGGGACACTAGATCTTCTTCTATTTTTAGATCAAATCCTTAGGGACAGATGGAAAGAAAACAAATGGAGCAAAATTAGGAAAAAAATTAAATTCTCTTTATTTTTTATGAGAGTCAAGTGAATAAATCATTCCTTAGGAATCATAGCTTTTGTGGAAAGAAAACGGGACATCTTTTCGGTGATGCCAGCATCATCAGGCTCTGCAGTCTGTGCCACTGGTCACTGCACACCAGGCTCAGAACAACATCAAGCCACTGTAAAACTCCAATTTCTTTTAACCAACAGCTTTATATTGATTTAGAAATAGCAAGGCCACTGAGGCACGTATCCCATAGGCAAGGAGGTGTTTGAACACAGCCACACCATTTCTCTCCATGGAGGTTTTGGCAGCAGCTCCTGCAAAGCTCCCACCTTCTGTTCATGTTGTGGTGTCCAGAGGAGATGAAGAAGCTACTATAATGTGCCCTGCTGTGGGTGAATGGCTTGCCCTGTGCTCCTCTGCCTGGGGATGTGAGGCCCCTGTGCTCTGGGGTAATATTCACCCTCCCAGAGCCAGGCTTGCTGGTTCAGCACCCATGTATGTAACCTGATCTTGGAAAAGAGTTTGGGACAAGCCTCAGGAAGCACTGAGATATCCCCGAGTGACCTGTGGTTGTAAAAATGGCTCTTGTGTTCTTAGAAATAGCCGTTAAACTGAGCTCTGGGAGCACGGGAGAGAAGCAAGGGGCTCCCCCAGCACTGCTGTCTGCAGAGTGGTACCCAGTGCAGGTGATGAGTGGGGAATGCAACGTTCAAGTTCAGCATCCTTTGCCTGATTTCTGTTTGCATATGGGATTCTGCAAACAGCCAAATACCTCAATAAAGCTGAGCAACCTGTCTCAGTGAAAGCCATGCATCTTTGCCACGGCTCTTGGTGTTTCCTAACAGAGCTGGAGTTCCCTGGCACTTAGAAATGCACATAATTGTGTGGATGACACTGAATAGTCTTGTTGACAAACTCCTCATCTGATGTGTTTGATTTCATTATTGACCCCTCATTGCTCTCTTCTTTGCTTCTCCTCAGTCCATTTATTAGATTTATTAACTTAATAGAATTGTAAATGAATACTGTGGTTTGTGCACGCTGCATTCTTCAATAAACATGACAAGATGCAGGCTCCATCTCCAGCATTTTTATGCTGATTTCTTAAACATCTGCTTGAATCACCTTTTACACCATCAGAATTCGCCTATCCAAAATTCTAGCAATTTTTAGCAATTGCAAATATTTCAAATAGCAGAAGCAGAAGGGGGAAAACTCTTCTGGTTTAAGATATCCATGCACAGAGCTGTTTTCAGCATATAACTTGGTTGGCAAATACGCGGTGTGGCTTTCAAAAGCACACATTCCATTTGTGATTTTTAACTCTACCCACTCTCTGCCCACCTCTGCACATTGCAGAAATAGCTGTGAATTCCCCCATTTCTTGGCACCTAAGGGGTTTTAATTAAGAACACTAGAAAAGTAGGCATTAGTGTAACTCAGGCACTTCATTTTCATGAAGAGTGTCAGAACGTAGAGCTCCCTTAGCAATCTAAGTCAAATTTCCAGCTATTTCAAACACCAGCTTATATTCTGCTTTGCAAACTGACCAACGTGTCCTAAAACCTTACATTTCACTGTTTTATTACCCTGCATGAAGTCATCTTTACCATTACACACATTAAGGCCACCACCACCTTGCTGATGCTAAGGCCACTTAGTTTTCTGATATCAGGGTTTGGATCAGGGAGATCACTGTACCATCTGTGACTATTTGTACACGTGCCTGTTTGCAGAGGGGCCATCTCTGGCTGGACATCTGGGTGCTCCTGCTTGTGCCCCTGCACAGGGTACGTTTAAGGGGGAGAGAATGACAGAGCAAAGCGATTGAGGGTCCAAATTCAGGCCCTGACAGCCTCCAAGGTGTTCATTTCTCTGCCTAAGTTCCTTTGCCTGCAGATTGCGTGTGATGATACCAGCTTTCCTTTCTAAAAGTGCTTGTGTTGATCTGATTGTGTGCATGTTTTCATTTCCATATCCCACCACAGTAGATACAGCTCTGAAATGTTAATCTACTACTTGACACTAATCTTTTCATGCCGTTTGCAACATAACCTCAGTAAAACAGACTTATCCCTACCATAATTTATGACATATCCGTACTGCACAGTTCAGAGTTGTTTTATCTAGAAGGGATTAAAACACTTGCAAATATTAAATTTAATCCACTCTAAGGGAGGGAACAAATTAATCATAATTAACACTCAGCAGCTGTAATTCCTAGCATAATGTATTAACTAATGGGGTTCTTTTGCTGGAGAATAGGTATGAGTCATGGGCATCCTATTTCTTCTGTAAGCTTGGGCTGCAAATCAATACATTTAATAAAGCAATCAAACAAAAATATTAAATGAACAATTCTTTTATTCAAAAATCAATACAAGGAAATTGATACCCTGCCTACACACATTTTATGGCACATTTCTCTTTCTGCAGAACAACAAAAGGCTGAGAATAGGGTGTTTGCAAAGCAGAGAAAAAACATCTTTCATTAGGGACCAAAGCGTGATGACCCAGTTGCACAAAAGCCTGAGAGCACTTGGCTCTTTTGTAACTGAGCAAAGCTGCAGGAACCCGGTGTGCTTATGTGAACCCCAAACATGTCCAGCCAGTCTGCAGCTCAGCTCATTGCAAGGAGTGTTGAACCCACTCCAGAGCTGATGACTTGCACCTGAGCTTCAGATGAATAATGAGCTGTTTGGGTGGAGGTATTTGTTTTGGACCACCAGCAACACCTGAATCCATTCCTTTCTCTAACCCATTCGTTATCACCTGGGTGAGATCAGCTTCTATTTATTCCACCCCCTGAGAGCTAGCACACTGTCCTGGTGCCCTGTAAAGATGTGGGCTGTGTTCTAGTGCTTTGGTAATGTAGGTGAGCAAGCCTGTCTTTAGAAAAGCATTGATTTAGTTCATTTTGGATAACGGAGAAGCCATCTAGAGGGTTTGGGAAGTCACCGTGCTATGACTGATTGTACCCTGGGTAAGTGCTACGTGTTCAGAACATGTTGAGAGTTACTTCATACGTATAGCTTGTGGAGATTATATCTCTGTGCTTTGTGTTCATTTACTTCTTACAAACTTGTTTTGTTGGTGGTCTGGAAAAGAAGCGCTTCTGAAACTCCTTTTTGCCCTGTCTTTTGCTATGTGCTGAGATTAGTCTTACTGAGTTTCTTAAGTCTTACCCTGTATATACACTGTAGTGCAGAGGAGAGACAGGGAAAAGGCTCTCATACAAGACAAAACATAAATATCAGCCATTAAAGCACTATAATAAGATATAGGCCCTATTAAACCGCAAAGATGTAAAAAGAAAGTGATGATGTAGGAAAGGAATTATCTAGTTTATATTTATTGCTGTTGTTTCCTTGTTTGTTTTCATCTGAAGTAATCTTTACCCCAACTCCCCTATTTTATTCCATAAATATGCAAAATATTAGCTGGCTCTTTTATTCAGTTCAAGCTAAATTTGGTTTTTTAATTTCAGATAGATCTTTCTACTGCCCTAAATGGTAATACATGCAAAGGGACATGCTTACCCATGATGAACAGATGTTGTGCCTGAAATACTCCTGTAAACAAGGCCTTTAAATCCAAGGGGTTTTGAGGATCATGTTGTATTTAAAAGCCAAAAAATGAGTTCAGATAGGTCATTATTGGGGTAATTATTTTTGTCTTAGTGTGGTAAATCTGAAATCATCACATGACTTCCCACATCGCTTGGAACCGTTGTAGAACAGAAGCTCATGCCATAGATATTTGTACCAGATACTAACATGAGCTCAAGTTTCCCTGATTCATTAGAACAAATAAAATCTCACCCAAGACTGCCCCATTTTTATGCCCAGTGAAACCTGGGGCCCATAGCCAACCATTGCTGCTTGCACTGAGAGATGGTTCGTATTTAACTGGCACCTCCCAAATAATTTCTGTGGTTGGAGGAAGTCAGACAAAGGCACAGATGGTGTTCAGGAGAAATTCAGATCTGCCTGGCTCTTGGTTGTCCTTTCTGTGAGCTAATGAGTGTGTTAATCAGATTAGGTTCTTGTTCACTCCTTTCCATTAGGTAACTGGGTGGTGCAGAGATTTGTCTTCCTCATTTTCTGAGCTAGGGCCACCTCCCTCGGGTGGCAGTGAGCCAACCCTTCTTATGAACAGTAAAAGGAGGGCTTTGGTATTTTTGTGGCTGATCTGAAGCAGGCAGGTACTCATTAACCTTAATCAAGGGGGTTGTGAAATGTGCTTGACATGCTCAGGGCTGCCTGGTTTGCACTCTTATCTCTTGTCATCTACCACCTGTCTCGCTCATCATGGGACCATAAGGAGCTGAGGTCGTGCTGCTCCATTTCAGCTTGGCAGAGCTCTCGGAGGAGGTTTTGGGTAACCCAACGCCTTAAGGACTGGTGGAGCACATGCCAAAGCGTTGACTTCAAAAGGTGCCTGGGCTGTGTCCTGGAGACAGCTTAGGAAAGCGTATTTATCAAGTGACCTTTTGCCAAGGCTGCCTCGAGCTGTCTTATGTGACAGCTGACAGGGGCACAGCGCTTGGGCTTCAGGATGCCCTGTCCTTGTGGAGGGCGGGCAGGATGGGGCTTGGTGGCTGATAGGGCTTTTGGGTGATGCAGGTAGAGAAGAAGACTTGGGGCCTTCCATCCCACACTAAGCCAAAGGTGTCTGCTATGTCTGTGTATGTTTTGCATTACTTGGGAGTTAGCAGCTTTAAAAGAAGGGCTATTATTCACATAAAAATACTGGTTAAAGCTGTCATGCTGAGGCTGAAATTGGGATGCAAAGTGCACCTGCTGCATAAGCTTTAGAACGTGGTATGGAGATATTAACTCCACTGATCCCTTCTGCAATAACAGGTTAAAGAAATTTAGTATTTATGGATAAATACCACTTCTGTGTATCAAAGTAAAACGGCCTTTGGCTGAAACCTCACAGAGGGGTGAGTATGGTGAACCTCAGTGTTTCCACATGTTGAAGTGGCTCCTCCTGGCTTGGACTTGCTGTTCTTCCACAGGAAAATCCCAAAGCCACTGTGTAGTGCTACCTAGGGATCAGGAGGAAATGCTGTTATGATGGCCCTACATGGGGGATTTCAACCTCAGCCTCAGAGCAGGTCTTGCATCCTTCCCCTTGGTATCATCTACTGGCTTTTGCTTAAAAGGTGGGGTAACTATTCTTTTCAAACACAGCAGTTGGCCATGCCCTGCCCTGTATAAAGGTTTGATGATTACCATGTTGGCTTCTACATCCTTCCTCCTGCCTTGCAGAGATTCATCTGCTGGCATCATGGGTGGTAATACCCTACCATTGAGCAATGTGTTCTTGAGGAAGCTGTGGTACACAAAACCAGCAGTCCTTGGCTAGGGAGACTGAGCAGGTCAAACCGGTGATTTGGATGCTTGTGCAAGAGAGGAACACTTCCAAGGACACATCTTAAACCTTCATGTGCTAAATAGTTTTCTGTCCTTTCATGGCTTAGACCCTTAATACATACAAGTCTGCAAGGGTGTCTAAGGGCTGATTTACAGCTCTGAGGCTGCCCAGGCGAGCCTGAAGACAAAACAACCTGCAAGCTTGCACCCGCCTCAGCCAAGGACAGATAAACTGTAAACAGGGAAGAAAGCAGCTGGTCGTGCAGTCTTTGGTATGAGAGAAGAGGCATTGCTGGGATGCCATGCCTCAGAGTCACATCTCTGAACAGAACATCTTTGCTTCGTGATCTCTTATGTAAAGAGTAGGAAAGCTTTTTTTTCCTTCAGGGAACTCAAATACATGTCCTTGTGCTGAGGACAGTGCTGGCCTGTGCTCGTTCCCAACCCTTCCAGAGCCAGTCCCTTGCTGCCACCATGTGTTGAACTAGGACTTGGCATACCTGGATCCTCTGAAGTACCTTTTGCCAGCACTTGACAAGAAACCTTATTGTCCTCAGAGATGCTGGAAGGGGCATGTACAGGTGCAATGACTTCTAAGTGCTCAACTTCCTTCCTGAGCCTCGATTCAAGCTGTCTTTATTCTTGATAACATATTCTGCCACCCCCCAAGGGATTCACGTTCATCTTTAATTTGAAATGCTATGTGCCTTTCCCTTTTAAACCAAAGAATTTGTGATGGAAGACTGAATTCTATCCCCATATGTCCTGGGAACTTGATTTATCTCCAGTGCAGCTAGCACAATGTGTAGCACCACTGAAAATGGCTGTTAGTTTGGTGCAGGTCATGTTGGATGGAGACCCAAGCATAGGGCAATATCACACAGAGATGGGTTATGTTACTGACATGGTTAAGATAATGGTTGGACTTGATCTTGCAGGATTTTTCCAACCTAGTTGATTCAATGGTTCTATGTTCACTTGTGAGCAAAATGGGATTCTGACTAAAAATGATGCAGTATTACTCTCCCATGTGTCAGCTTGACTCAGCTGTGTCAATGAATAGACAGTAGAGCACGGAATCAAACCCCAAGAATAGTTCCTTAGTCATCAGTAAATACATGATCTTTTCCATACAAAGGGAATATGCTGAATTCCCAATAGTTAAATTTCACTTCTAAAAGTGAACTGAAGGGTATTGGGATGGAAGCCGCGTGCTGCGATATGCTACGACAAAATGGTCAGTAGGTGAATATAAAGTTCTGCTAAACAACCTTTTCTTATCGGTGAGCCTTTCCTTAGGAAAACCGTTGCAAGACCCGCTAAAGGGCAACGAAAGCTGCCCGTGAGCTGGAAGAGTGCAGCAAGGGCTCCATCCCACAAGAGGGAGCTCCGATAACGTGAATAGAAAGAGCTTAAAATGCTGTTTACTATCGCGAAAGTTGTATCTCGCTCTGGAACGAATCAAAAAGCACAATGGGAAGCATCATAAGCTCGTGGTTTACTGTCCTGCGTGCCTAAATTCCCTAGGCAACCTTGGTGCCAAAGTGATCAAGAAATTGGTCTGTGGAAGACAGGTCATGACATGGTTACAGCAATGATGTAAGACACACTAAGCCAAGTTTGCAGGAGCAGACAATGCGGTTTTTAGCAGCAACTAATACAGATTTAAAGGGGAAGAAGGAAGCTTTTTGGGGTAGATAAGGCAATGAATGGATCTTTAAAGTTGCTTTTATTTCATACCTGAAGAAGACTTACTCTGTGGACTGTGAAAGGCTTTTTTTTTCCTCACCTCCAGCCTTATCAAGGGTATAATAAAAGGTATTATTCTCACAAATATTGCCTCATGGCATAATGAGAAGCTGGAGAGGCCCTTTGGCAGGTCCTTGTTCTTACCAGAAATCAGGTTTCATCTTCAAGGTTATTTGTGCAGCTTCTTGGGTTTTATTCACTCGGAGCAGGAAGCTACCAAAACCCCTACCAACATCCCTTTCATTCCCTTAATTAAAAAAAGGCACCAAGCAGTGGAATTTCATATTAAACTGAATCACTGGAGGAGGGAGAAACCAGCAGCACCATATCTTGGGGAAATAGAAGCCACTTCAGAAACTGCCTGCTATATATTAGTTTAATTCTGATGTGTCTGGGGTTTTCTTTTCTTCGCTCACCCTGTCCTTCTCAACCAAAACTAGAAGCAGAATTCCTGAAGTAAGGCAAGGAGGTTCCCTTCCTGGAAGCCTCTTCCAGATTCTGGCAAAGTTTAAGTTCATTTCCAGACCAAATGTCCAGAGAAATCTGAAGATCATGGGGTATCCTGAAAGGATGAGTAACCTTAATGCACCTCTGGGTGGGATAGGGCCGATGAGCTTCTACAGAAACAGTAGTGAGGCCAAATGCAATGAGAAGGGCTGCCCCAGTGTGCCATTTTGGAAGGCTGATGTGAGCCCCTCTCACCGTGGCTGGTACACACACGCTCCCCACATCTCCCCAGCCATGCGTGAAGACGCCCTGTTCATCCCTGTGCTCTCAGCCAGGGTGGTCGTCTGTATGGAAAAGCCTAAAGCAAACAAAGGCAAGCTGCAGCCAGATGTTGGGAGGCTTTCAGGTTCACTTAATGTTCCTGGGGTAGGCAGCACATGCGTGCCTGTGCTTCCCCGCTCGCATGGATAAGCCCAAGCAGCCACAGCCTTTAAAACCTTTCCCTTTGCAATGGAAACCACTGCTTACCTTTCCAGAACCATCTGAGCAAATACGGACCTCGCAGAAAGCATCAGCAACCCCCGATCCATCAAGGCTCTGCTAAACAAACCCCAACAATTTACAACGTGACCTCACGTTGTGCCTGTAAATGGATTCTGTGAAAGGCCTTTCCCCAGGTTAGTTATAGTTTCATGGTGTATACACCAGGCTAAATTAACCAATTCAACAGCTCCCCAGAATGCCCTTGGGTTTGCTTTATACTGGGGAGGGGGGGGGTTCAGAAGGGACTTGTTGCCAGTCCCTGAAGCTCTGCTTTATCTCTTGGGCAGGAAATTCTGCTCCTTTGTGAAATAAGAGGCAAGATTTTGCATGAACTTCATTTGAGTTCTGTAGCTTTGTTCTTGAGAATGACTTCTTTCAAGAAACTTATTTACAAGTTGATTTGATTTCGGCGAGGCAGGAGGTGGATTTGGGATGATTTCTTAAGTGATGTGTTTTAAAAGTCACCCTAATATCATCTTCTGTATGGAAGAAGTTGTTGTTCTCAACTTGTATTATGCAAGGGGGAGTTCAGTTTGTGTGACTACAGCCTGATCTGGTACAGATTATAGAAACTGAGGCAAGCACACAGTCCTCATCTGAGAAAGAGGATTTAATGAAGTACTTCCATAGGAAACCAGGCAGACAGTTGTAGAAAGGGATAAAAAGCATCACACTTCAGGACAGCAAGAGGAAAAAATATCCCACAGGCTGTCAGAGTTTTTCTCATCTCCTGCTGATTACACTTCCATGTCATGTAGCCGCACAATGTTCAAGATTTGTAATGGCAGGATAAATCTCCTAGCCCAGACGTGGGAGAACCAGACATGATGCTTCTGTAGAGAACGTATTGCAGGTGGACAAACATGCATTGAAATCTCTTTTTCTGTCTGTGCATGCGCATGCTGCATAACATTAAAGGTGACCAGATCCATTGATGCTTTACCTACAACAACCAGAATGTAAACACAAAAATACTCTTCAATAATAGTACAGTATTGAAAATAAACATCATCGTTAACATGAAATCCTGCTTTCATCACTGTCATCTTGGTTACCTGCATCTTCAGGCATTTAAGTCATCCTGAAGGTTGCTAAGAGACTTGATGCTTTTAAGATTTCCCTCGTCATACTAGCCTTGATAAGCAGCCCAGGACCTACCTCAATGCACCAGCTCAAGCTAAAATCAGGTCTGAAAGGATGTTGTACATCCAAATGCATCGGGATGATTAAGAGACACTGTTCTTGTTTCTAAATTAATTTTACCAATAAAAGCACATTTACATCACAAAGGAGCAAGAAGAAGCTGTTTTTCCTGCAGAAGGATTGTGAGCTTGGTCTCCAGTAATTCATGCCTGGATTACATTAAAATAAAGCCATTAATTTCAAAGGCTTTCCTGAGCTGTAGTTTAGGCTTCTTACACTCCTGGCTAACCAGCTAATGAGCATGAATATGACAGATTTAAAGATAGGATTAAGTGGTGTATTTCTTGTGAGGTCCTCAGAACCGCATGATTTTATACCTCTTCCAGATCTGGTTCATGAGCTACGTTTTGATGCCAGAAAGATGACAGTGAAACATGGAAACAGGTATCCTGCCCAGAAAATGGGGATTTTCCAGGCAAGATGTTAATCTAGGTTCATGCCTGTGGCCCTCAGACAGAATTTACTATTCAAATCTAAGTTATATTTTTTACACATGAAGAAATACTTAAAGGGTAAGAAATGTGTTGTCGTAATGGAGTCTGAACATATTCTCTAGTATGTATTTCTTCCTGTGTCCTCAATTTTGCCTCCCCCAAAGCAGGACTAAAGGTCCAGCACAACGCAGAAGGAAGAAGGACACATCTGTGGTAGGGTGGATGCTGAGCAGCAGCCCACGAGCTGTAATTCTCATGATCCCCAGGCTGAACTTTGTAAATAGACTTGGCAAGGATTCTTGCCTGGAGAAAATAGGCTTGGAGAGGATATAAATAAATAACCAACCTTCCTGTCCTCCTCCTGCAGTCCCTCTCTGCTGATTGAACTCTGGGAGGACAGATGTGTCTGGTCCAGTGCAATGTGGCCATGGCATCTTTTGATGCTGAGAGAGGCAAACCGTTGGCATCTCTTTATTACTGTCCCTTCTCTGAATAAGGGGGTAGAGTATGTAGTCAGTAGCTAAACAAAGAGGAGAAGATGGTCATTCTATGGCATCTGATTTAAAGTCTCGGGAATAGGCTACAAAGCTTGGGTGTGAATGAGAATGTGGTCTCTTTGGAACTGAACAGCTTATCTTTTATTTTAGAGAAAAGCAGTGATTTTTGAAATAGCATACACCCCAAATCTATCCCTTGTATCTCCCTACTTCCTATTTATGCAACTAAACATCATGTATGGGCAGTTTTGCCCACTAAAATATTAGAGAAAGCTCTCCCCTATGACCTCTATAGTTCCTGAGAATCCTCCTGGAAAATTAGCAAAGTATTTTTACACTGATAAACCTTAAAGCTGAGCCTTGGGAAGCTCTATACTGTACAGGTACTGCACTCGTGCAGCAGCCAGTGAGTATGTGGAGAACATCAAGTGTCTCTCAAGATCCTGAGTAATCGTCATCAATGGTGACTCATTGGTCTAAGAGCAGCAGAGGTGGCAAGAGGAGTCTCAGCCCTTCCCAGAAGCCATTCTCCAGGAGGGTTAGGCCCATTGAGTATGTCCTACCCACTGTTGACTGCAGGGTATGTTGGGATGCTGCCTGGAAACACAAGCCATGAAAAAACCATCCTCAAAGCTGTGTCCTGCATACAAACAGGAGTTCTCAGGTCCTCTGTTTGGTGCTGATTTGCATTACAGAGGAAGCTGTATCATTCAGAGTGGAAAGAAAAAGCGAATCAGCCCTTTTTAATAAGCTGGTGAACCACCAACGAGCTGCCCACCTTTTATTTACTGTAAGGCTCGGAGCCTCTGTTGGCAGCACGATTGTGTATCTCTGCACAATGACAGCATTGCTGCTCCTCACCACAGACAAAGAAGGGAAGGCATTCACTGGCTGCTCTCGGAGAGCTGGCTGCAGCTATTCCTGAAACCATAGCTACATCTGCTTGTACCATCCAATCCCTGACGTTTCCCCCAGAGGGTGAATATCCAGACATTGTCATTTCAGCACAAGAAGCTCGATGCATTTATTAATCAACCTTTTTGCTGGGTGGAAGTCTGGCTGGTCTCTCCTGGTATAGTCTAAATCCCTCAGTCTGTTCCCATTACAAGACTTGGACAAAAGAACGTTTTCTTCTGCTCTTACAGAAATGGGAAGACTTGAATGCGTTCCTTTTTCCTGGGTCTTCTTTTGACTGACTGGGATTTTTCATGGCTGTATCAGAAAGTCGGACATTCCCTTTTGTTTCGGAAGCATTCGGTGATGGATCACATTTTAATTGGCGTTGAGGTTTACAGAGAAAGGGAGCACCACAGGAAGTTATTAGAATAACAACACTACGCATCTGCACAGGAATTAAAACTGCAAATGTAGGGGGCATATTAATTGCTACCAAATGCTTTGGTTTTCTCCTCCTCGAATAGCCCAGCTCAACAAAAGGGTGGATTTTTAATGTATATTTTCCTATCTTGCTCTTCCACTCAAAATGTGATTAGATTGGTGGGATTTTACTCTTGTGTATAAAACTTCTTCTGCAACATGTTTCAAAGCATTTGCAGAAGGGATAAACACGTTTGTTTTGACAAGGAGGATACTGATGGCTGCAGACAGATACGCTTGTCCAGGGCCGTTGTTCCCACAGCAAGAATCTGAGCACGGTCTATACACTTTTTCATGCCAAAGATGGTTGGAATGTTTTCCCTCTTTGTTTTTGCCCTAAGAAGTTACTGGTATGTTGTCACAGAGCTGTAATTTTTGTTGCTACTGAAAATAGAAGTGAGATGCAGATTGTGAATGGTTTTTTCTTTAGCTGGTTGGGTTTCAGTTTTGTAAATGAAAGGAGGAAGAACGGGAGGAAGGAAAGCAAATATTGGTCACAGATACCTGTAAACAACTTCAGCTGATTGAAACCCAAAGAAAGGAAAAGGTTGGAAATGTTCTGGACAGCTCTTGGCACAGTCTTGACACAGGCAGTGAGCTGCTTCAGTGTCTTCCTTTCTTTTTGACTTTGATTTATTCCAATATATTTCTCTGTTCCTCACTGATACTACTCCACTGCATGAGGCAGAGTGTACCAGAGGTTGTCCAGAAGGAGGACTCTTCCTATTGAAGACAAAGGAAACTTAAGTTTGTCTTTGCTGATCCCAACTTGCTATGCAATCTGTTGCTTCCTTTCCCATCCTGAGAATGACCTGCTTTGCAAAGGACACAGGTGGATTGCTTTGACATCTGCAGAAACCCCAGCTACCAACAGCTGAAAACCAGCAGTTTATTTAGCTCTTCATGTGCATTTCATGTATCTAAATATTTGCTCAGTTGCACCCCTGGGAGATAAGATCTGCATGCTCAGAGGTGATGTGACACTGGAACAGGGCCATGATAGAAGCCCTGAGAGGATGCGAAATGCCATGTGAAAAAGCACATCTGTGCTAACAAAACTTTACCATTTGGGTCTTCTTTGCAAAGATATTAATCTCCTATTTTCTCTTTAGCCTCATCAGTTTATTGAATAGACACACCTCCTTCTACCACACACCAACCTCAAATATGTTATGCCTGTGTTGTGTAGAAGATGAAGAAAAGGAAACAAATGCATTGGTTTATCTCAAGCTGCAATTACAGGGCAGCTCTTGAAAGGTGTAAAAGCCTACACATCCCTGCTCAGCCTTTGGCCTTACTCCCAGCTGGGCTTGGCTCAGAAGTCTCTAGTGCACAGGTGGGATTTTAGTGAAATAAACAGCACCCTGGGGATGTCAAGTGCTTGTTGAGAAATCCATGCACAAGCTTCTCCATGTCCTGGTCTTCCTCTCCCACCTCGCACATCTGTGGCTTTGGCATCAGGCCTAGAGGAAGGACACACAGCTGAAACAAAAGAGATCCAAGCCAAGGAGGCAGGCAAGAAAAATTCCTATCAGATGGGATACAGATGAAGACTGCACAGAGAAAAAGCCATTGCAAAAGGCACGCTCAACTGACTGGTGGTGCATTGTGTCTGCCCGTGTTTCAAATGACAGCCCCTTTTCTTTCAGGCCCAAAAGACAATGGGTTTCCTAAGTGGCATGTTTGGCACCTTCCAGTTTTACAGGATCACTGGTTTTCCATGTGTGTTGGCCCAACAGCTAAGCATGGTATTGTCAGCAAGGCTTTGTTTCTTGGGCAAATACTCCAAGGAGGACTCCTGCCCTGCAAGTGTGTTTCCAGGCATTACCTCATAGCAATTGTTTCTAAACCTCCAGTGTTTTCACTGCCCAAAAGGGTTTGCTTTTATTTGAGAGAATAAAAAGAAGTGACGGTAGATGACAGCCGCAATGGGCTGTGCTTGCCGGACACTCTTTGTTCAGCATTGCTGCCGAATTGTTCTGGCTGGAGGGAAAATAGGCAAGTGGTTGGCTCGGGCAGGCATCCCTCCCTCTGGACCCCAAATATTGCCATCAGATGTCTGGTTTGGGATGGCCAGGGAATTTCAGATGCAAAGCTTGAGGATGGGAAATGCTGATTCATCAAAGCACAACCCATTCATAGAAATGGGTTGGTTTCATGAGCTTAGCCTTAGTGAGGGAAATAGAAAAGTTTTCCCTGTGGGGTGTAAATATATGTGGCTAGTCTAGATGGAGACTGGGAATTGAGAAGACTCAGTGGAATGAGAAGCCAAGAGATGAACCTGTTTAGACCAGCCCAGGTGGACTGGAAGTAGGGTTGTGGTCCATCCTCCATAAAGGACCATGGTGTTCAGAGCTGCAGAACCAGAGGAAAATGGGGGCATTTTCATCTGGGATTTTGGTTTGAATTCAGCTATATCACGGG